TTAGGTATTGGGTGAGGTCTGTGTAAGTGGGTTAGGGCTTGTGAGGTAAAGTTGGGTAAGGTTGGATAAGGTTGGGTAGAGTTGGGTTAGGTTAGGTTACAGGGCCGGATTTATCTACCTGCCGCCCATAGGCCGCCTGTATTTTGCCGCCCCCTTCTCATTTGTTTTGAAACATCAATAAAAACCATCAAGTGAACGTGCCGGTGGGGGAGGGGTGCATAAGACGCGTTTACCTACTCGGGTTGGATACATTTTTTGCGAAAGCCCTGTCAACACCACTAGCAAAATTTCAAGGAACTTTGCGCGAAAGTTAAGTTCCGTAAACATATCTCTGTGTGAACAAGGTCCTCCATTCATAAGAAATGAACCAACAAATTGAAAGAACAAACATAAGTGTAGTTCAATAAATTTAACTTCCGCCGCTGCGCCGCGCCGCGCTGATCGCACTGTGATTGGCGCAATGCGTGAAGTATTCCTGCAGTCTTGCAGGCGCTATGGGCTTCACGCCAACCGCTCGACCGCTCCTGACCGCACTGTGTTTGACGCAATGGGTGAAGTATTCATGCAGTCTTGTAGGCGCGAATATACGTTATATATCATCCGCCGTGCCGAGGGCTTGTCCTTTTCATCTCAAGTCCTCGTCATCATTCCTCTCTGCGCTGAGCTCCAGGCCAAATTGCGTGTTTAGTTTCTCTCTTAACTCGACTAATTAAAGATGCTGTCTCTTTTATCACAGAAAAACGATAAATTTAGAAATTACTGTACTCTCAGGAAAGAGAGATTTGGTCCCTTTTTCTCATTGATAATTTTTTTTCTGAATCCGATTTTTATATACCTACATTTAAAAAAAATTGCAAAATTTGCCGCCATGGGCCGCGGCCCATGTGGCCACCCCCTTAATCCGGCCCTGTTAGGTTAGGTTAGGTAAGGTTAGAGTAAATAACACAAAAAAACAAGACTTGAAATTTGAAAGATGTTCTAGACGGAAGTTTTAAGTTTTGTTGACGCCGTGATCGTTATGACACCGTGATTATCTTTCATGGGAGTCGAAATTTTTAATATTTGGATGATCATGCTGTCAACAAAAACTTAGAGAAACTGTTTGTTGACACCATGATCGTTGACACTATGCTACGTAATCAGAATGACACTTCCCATTGTATCAACAGGAACTCCCGTTATGTACATTGCAACAAAGAGTTTCTTATTGAAATAAACACGAGATCTACTCGTTTCAAACGGTATTCCCGTGGTTTCGGAAGATGTGCTCTCACCTTACAGGGATTACTGGTTAATTCGACGAGAATTTATGGTATATGTTTCGTAGTTCCCCAGAAAAAAAACATGACTGCATTTTAATGTTGTACCTGCTGATTGAAAAGCTAAATTTGGCTCCACACTTCTGCTCTAAAAGGAAGCGTTGTCACTCAAATATTTTGTACAAACGTTGTCAAAACTCATCTAATAATACATGCATTCTCTGTAAAACTTTAATTCCTTTTGTTTAATCGAAAGTTTGATTGATTCTTGAAAGTTGGTAATACTGCTCAATTTAAACCCATTAAAAATATCGAATTTAGGTGAGGCAAGCTGCCTCACTAAGAATAGATGATGGAGGAGAAACACACTGAAAAAAAAATTCTCGGCGTTTTTACCAAGGTCCGTTGGTACCTTTACCATCTCACTTTTTTTTCATCATCATCATCATTGGTATTTCATCATTGGTAATGAATGGTATCATTGGTAATTTTAATCATCATAATCATTGGTAATTTTAACAAGACAGACTAGTAAGCTTACCTAAAAACCGGTATTTTTACTGTTTTTTTTTTTCAGGTAAAAATACCACTTCTATTGGTAACCAATTCCCGGTAACTTTGCCATTTTATCTCGGTAATTCTACCACAGTCGATAAAAAATATTGGTGTTTTTACCAAGGTCCAGTAAAATTACCGAGAAAGTTCAATAATTTTACCGAGATTCTCGGTAAAATTACCAATTCCATGAATGGTAATTGTACCTAGATAAAACTGGGATCAAAAAGAACCCTGAATTCTTGGTAATTTTACCCTTTTCTCATTAAATCCATCAATATTTTTTTTTTCAGTGCAGTGCTGCCGACTTTCAAGAATCGCAACTGCCCAAAAGAGAGTTTTTCATCGAAATCTTAAAATCCAATTTTTGAACCGAACTCGACAAAAATCGCTCTCCTGACATCCAAAAGACGAAGGGCCACTTTCCTGTGGACGGTCACATATCGAACTGCCGTGCTAAGGAAAAACGCCGTATGAACATGCGTGAGTCGCCAAATTCCCCCTGATAAAACATAATTTTTTAGGAAAGTTACGCGTATATTTCCTCCAAGTGTTCAGGTATTTTAGATCGAATTGCGAACAAAGCTGTCCGAAAAATCCGAAGAAAAATATCCAAAATTTACCCAGTAAATCCGTTTTTTCTTTGCGGAAATACGGCAACGTCTGAAGGTTCATACGGCGTTTTTCCTCAGCACGGCAGCGCCCGGAGCTTCCTCCTCGTCGATTTACCCGTAAACATCACGTAACAACCAGTCACACGATACGGCCGCGTAGCGTTTCCAACGCAACGTACGCGGAACGCGGGATCGGGGGGCGAGGGGGGGGGGTTACGGAATAGACAGGGCACTGCCCCCCCCCCCCTCGGGGGACCGTCTCATAGCCCGAGTGGGCACAGCAAAGTCAAGGTCAATATGTGCCCCGTCCGTTCGGGATCCTGCGACAGAAGTTCATTTGACGACTGGAATCAGTCTGCGGCCGGTTTTCCGATCGAGAGCCAGAACTTACGTTTGTATGCCGAGCGCCCTCGGATTCCTTCGAAATACGCAAAAAGTGATTTTCGGATTTTTTCAACGCGATCTCTGAAGTTTGTTGTGCTGGTTTATCTCGAAATTCTGAAATCCCGGTCGGAGTGAGGATTCTGGTGTATCTTTTATCGTGAGGGTTTTATTTCTTCTTTTTAACAGAAATTCAGGGTCTAGAAGTCTGAAAAAAAGGATCACAGAGAAGAAAAACGACAAATTAAGGGCCAGGGCCCGAATTTTGTCGGCAGAGTTACGGTCGGCCGCAAGTTCAGGCAAGGATGTTGACTTTGTTATTTTGTCGCTGATTAATGGTTTGCTAAAGTTGTTAAATGTTGTTAAAAAGTTGTTAAAAAATGGATTAAAGTTGGGAAACTAAGAATGGTTCTACTCTGCTGTAAAAAAAAGCTCAACTTGCGCATAGCTTGAGTTTAGAATGTAATTATTGCTATTTAATGTCGGATTTTGAGTTTAGGTTCTCAACTTGCGGTCGGCCGCAAACCTTCAAGATTCGGGCCTTGGAGGATAAGGCGCAACAAACTGACAAAACTGCACTCAGTTTTTGCTATTTTGAGAAATACGTGTTTGAAGTTTCGATAATACGTGGATCCTTATAGCGGAAAGAAAGCTCAAACTGACCTTTTGATGCTTAAAAATTTGAATTTGGGGGCTAATTTTTCACAGAATATGCATTGCGACTAGATTCAATTGAAATAATTATTAACTTAATTTTTTCAAAAACTGCACGTATTCACCTTGTCCTCCAAGTCCCTTGAATATGTTTAAGCAACTATATATTTATTCGAACAGGCAAAACGGCAAGTTCTTTGGAACCACCACTTTAAGTTTACCACCACTTGCTCCTTTTTAACGTTAAAAAATTAAAGTATGAACGAAATTTCAAAAATATATACGTCTTGTTCGTTACAATTTTAAACAAACGTAAAGATGTTTAAACAAGCAAAACGGCAGGTCGTTTGAAGCTGCCACAGGCTAAGTTATAAAGTTAAACATATAGAAGTAGGAACAAAGATGATAATAATTTTTACGTCTGATATATGTTGCAATTTTTATACATTATATTACATACAATATTAAGAAGCAACTCATAGATACAAAAACTACAATTTTACAAGAAATGTGCAAATTCAGTCACAGGGAATGTTCTTGTAAAATTTTCCTAACGTATTGTGTCCTTTTATCCGTTCAGCGAGAGATTTGATACACAAAGAAAGCATTTTGAAGTTCCTCAAATAAAAAAAGTTCATGATGTGTACAGAGACTCAACATAACGATTCAATTAAAAATCGTGAGTTTTCCCTTAAAAAATGTCTAATTTGCCCGAAAATCTTAGATTTGGTCTTTTTCTGTAGTTAAAGAGATGACAAAAGCGATTAATTGGTCCGATTGAAATGCAAAGATAAACACGCCAAAAATTAGCTCAAACAAAATTAATTAAAACAAAATTCATTTACAAAACAAAATTAATTTAAACAAAAATTAATACACAAACAAAATTAATTTACCTTTTTCTGCATCATGACTAATAAGTTTGATTGAAACTGGAAAAGAATCTCATTCCTCTACCAATGGTTGAAAGAATGTCATATAAACGACTTTAAAAGTTAGATATAATTAGGAATCGCTACGGACGGTAATGGTGCAATTTCATAATTATAAACATTTTTTGTAACGTCACCATTTTAGAATACGTTATAGACTCTTGGTGTACGCACTATCAAAAATTCTCTTTAATTGACATAATTCAAAGAAAGTTTCCGAAACAAGTTGGAAAATAACATACTTATCCCATCTCTTTAGAGTCTCATAACGATTTTTTTGATGATAAAAACCAGCCACACACAAATTAAGGTGGACGCGAAGTTTGAAGCCTGCTAATGGGGGCAGCCAGCTCGGGCGAACAGAATTCAGAGAAGAAATCTGAACTCGAAATGGTAATTTTCCGAACGATCTTGCGTTTTGTACGAATGCATGAGTAACATAGTTATTTTTACCCGATTTTTTCCCGATTTCTTAAACTTCTTTCTCTTCTTTTCCGTTCTTAGTGATACACCAGAGCTCTGCTAAAGTTGACATACTCATGATACTCAGAATTATCAAATAATTTTTTACTTCCCTATTTTTTCCCGAAGACACTCGTTGAATTCTGATAATCGTATAATCATAATTGGTTCTTAGTTTGGTGACTCTTCCGGTGGTGATATATTTTGAATTTGAGTAATTACATTACTGTTTAACCGTGCTGTGACTGATATTCGTCTGGATTACGTGTAATTCACAAGTGTTGGTGACGGAACCTTTTCAGTTCTGGTTCATGAGGTACTGTGCAAGCTCATTGGAAATTCAGCAGTACAACCTACGAAAGGTAAGCCATTTTCCCCTTCCGATTTCTTCAAGTGAGTTGCACTGAAAAAAAATTCTCGGCGTTTTTACGAGGATTCGTTGGTACCTTTACCATCTCACTTTTTTTTACAAATAATTGGTAATTTTACCAAGACAGACTGGTAAACTTACTTAAAAACCGGTATTTTTACTGTTTTTTTCAGGTAAGAATACCACTTTTATTGGTAATCAATTCCCGGTAACTTTGCCATTTTATCTCGGTAATTCTACCACAGTCGATAAAAAATATTGGCGTTTTTACCAAGGTCTAGTATAAGTTTACCGAGAAAGTTCAATAATTTTACCGAGATTTCTCGGTAAAATCACCAATTCCATAAATGGTAATTTTACCAAGAAAAAACTGGGATCAAATAGAACCCAGAATTCTTGGTAATTTTACCCTTTTCTTAGTAAATACACCGAGATTTTTTTTTTCAGTGTGACTTTCGACCTGTATTCATCGTATAGTCTATTACTCGGTCTAATTACTCAATGAATTCCCAACAGAATCCTTTCTCGTGTTTTACATGTCACTCAACTCATGTCGGCACAGAGAGAAATAGTCAAACGTAAAAAAAGTTTTCGCAAGTCATGGGATGACCAGACATTCTAAGCACGAGTCACTCTAGGACTAAAATCTCGGGCGCACACCGATACTGTCCTGCTAAGTAGAAGCACCGTATCAGCATTCGAATGTTGCTAAATTTCCTCCCAGAAAATATTTATTTTTGAAAAAAGCTGTGAATGTTTTTCCTTGGAATTTTCAGACACTTTAGATCAAATTACAAACAAAAAAATCTGAGAAATTGGCAGAAAATGTTCAAAAATTTTCCTGAAAATTAGTGATTTGCCAGAAGAAATGTGGCAACATCTGAAGGCTCATACGCCGTTTTTCCTCGAGACTAGTACTGTTGCGCTAAGTTAAAACGCCGCATCAACATTCGAAAGTTGCCCGATTTTCTTCCCGAAAATATTTATTTTTTAAAAAAGTCATGAATGGTTTTCCTTAAAATTTTCAGACTTTCCAGATTAAATTGTGAATAAAATCCTCTGAAAAATTAGAAGAGGAATATTCACAAATTCTTCTAAAAATTCTTGATTTTTTTTAAAGAAATTTTGCAACACCTGATGGTTCATACTGCGTTCTTCCTTAGCGCAGCAGCGTAAGTGAATCTACAAGTACATGAATGAATCTTGCTCGAGTCGAGAAAAATGATTTACAGATTCAAGAGGGCTTGTGCGGACAAGTTCATGACCAGCATTATTGATAAGATTGTAATACACAATGCACACGAGGATCTGGAGTATTTATTCAGTCATAAGTGACGTAAGGGACGTTACAGCATAAGTTTTGACATTCAGAGAAGGATAAACAACTTGGACGTATGTGTGCTTTGTCCGGGCCTAAGCTGTCGCGTGCTGAGGAAAAACATCGTATGAACATTCAAACGGTGCCGCATCTCCAGCGATAAAATGAGAATTTTCGAGGAAAGATATGAGTATTTTTCCTTGAAATTTTTAAATAATTTAGACCAGGACGAATTTTCTCAGGTTTCCGGGAAAATTCGTGCTTTTTTAAGGAAAAATGGCAACGTCTGAAGGCTTATACAGCGTCCTTCCTTAGCACGGCAGTGCAGCTCTGATGGCATTTGGTTTTGCGTTGTGGGGTCGTAGGAAAAATTGAAAATTTCTGAATGGTTAACTCAAGGCCTCTGACTGTGACATTGTGATAATTCTTGTAAAAAGAGTCTGGAAGAAAAATTTACGCTGCGGGCTAATTATTACATTTGATAGACAAAGTGATATGCAAAGAGATGGCAAATGGAGCAATTCTATTTATGAAAGTGGGTGTCTACAATGTGGACAAAAGAGGTTTGTGTCAGGCTAAATAACGGCAACTCTTAAAAAACTTAACGGTTAGTCAATTTTTTTCGCCTTAAGTCTACATCAAAAGCCCGTTGCAATTGAAAGGATCATTCCATTTTCCCTTTGTATTCTTTGTCTATAGCTCTGTCTATCAAGTTTAATAATCAGCCCCCTGCAAGGACAAAGGACAATTCATGAAAGGGGGAAACAAGGTTAGATGATACAACCGCTTTAGTATATCAAATTCTGGTTAGCAATGAAGCCTTGGAGACTTCAACGCATAATTAAGAAAGTAAACTTAGAGGTAATGCATTCGAATGGGGTTGAGAAAGGGTCAAACGGGCCAGATAATGGTCTTAATTATTCGATGAGAGTCTCGGTGACTTCAACGCATGGTTATGAAAATAAGGGCTCTATTACTTACCATTTTTGCTCATTGCAACCGCCCACTTCCACCCAATAGGATCGCTAAATTTTATTTAACCTTCTCTCCTTAGTATACAGATTTGTTTGTCATTCCCAAAAGTTGGCCCGCAGTCGATAAATATGTAATTTCTACCAGTAAAAACCGCTGTTCTACTTTTAATAAAACACAGTACTTCTGGGACCTATGGTAAAATCCTATTCTACGTAAATGGAAGAAAAAAATCATGCCAAATCAATTACCAAAATTGAAATTTTAACACGCGTAATAAAGAATGATAAACTTAGATCATGACCAATAGACGTCGTGTAATCGAGTTAACGTCATTTTGGAATGTCTCTTTGGCCTTTTCTTTCATAGACACAGAGGTTTTCATTTAAATCTTTCTGCAATTTCTCTGCCCGTCGCAGGCTAAATATTGAGATTGATAGACAAAGCAGACAAAGAAGAAATGGGTCGATTCTTCGGGTGGCAATGATTGGTTGCGATAGACAAAGGCAGTCTAGATTAGTTCATCTTTGATTTTTGTTCAAATTTTTTAGTCTAAAAGGATTTTTTAGGGAAAGAAGTGAATTAAATTAGTGTGGTCCTGGGTAAAATTAGCAATAGAATAACTAACAGCAATCCATGAGGGATCCCATAGTTATAGTCCATTATTTCACCCTTTCTCTAGAACATCCACCCATTTCAACCAATAGATTCGTTCCATACTCCCTATACCTATTTTGTCCATCGCACTGTCAATTAATTTCAATAATAAGCCCGCTATGCAAACACGACTGAGGTGAAAATGGAGGCCCGTGATTGATCGGCATTGTCATAGTCATTTTCTTTATGGTTCCCTAAGTCAATAGGAACTGATCATTTCAACCAATAGGATACCTCCATTTTCCTTTTGTCTTTTTTTCATCGCTTTATCTATCAATTTAAAATCAACCCGCAGGGCAGTGTCCTGTTATATAATTTTTGGAAAGACCCAAGTATGAAGTGGAATCCACTGAGCTTGTCAATTCAATGTTTTGACACTGTTGGCGTTTGTTGGTGAATTTCACAGAAACCGCGCCAAAACACGGGCTTAATGACGGTAAGAACCGTAATTTGCCGGGCATGCGGAGGCGCGAGTCCAATTTACCGGGGTATAATGATGCGCGAAACCGGTTTCTGATCAGCCGGCACGAGCTTCATTCCGTGCATACCTGAAGCCATACGACCGCTCGGTAAGAAAAGTTTTCCGTCTTTCCGGTCAAAAATCTCACCGAGCTTTTTCAAATTCTCGGCGTGAATTCGAACTTCCGATGCCTAACATTTTAAAGAGTTCCTCCAAACTTTTTTGATTTGGCATTGCTTTGAAGATAGAAATTTTGGCGCTGATAAAAATGGAATAGAGAATTTGCAAATGTGTGAAATTTTGTGAATTTAAAAGTGCCATTAACGTAGGGATTTTGGCACCCATAAAAAGGAATAGAGAATTTGCAGGTATCTGAAATTCTTTTGATAAAAGCTGGTAAGAAAAGCTTTCCGTCTTCCCGGTCAAAAATCTCACCGAGCTCTTTCAAATTATCGGTAAGCTTCCGATGCCTAAAATTTTGAAAAGTTCCTCCAAACTTTTTTGATTTGACATTGCTTTGAAGGTGCCGTTAACGTAGGGATTTTGGCGCTGATAAAAAAGAATAGAGCATTTGCAAATGTGTGAAATTTTGTGAATTTAAAAGTGCCTTTAACGTAGCGATTTTGGCACCCATAAAAAGGAATAGAGATTTCGCAGGTGTCTGAAATACTTTGGATAAAAGCTCGGTAAGAAGAGCTTTCCGTCTTTCCGGTCAAAAATCTCACTGAGCTTTTTCGATTCTCGGCGTGAATTCGAACTTTCGATTCCTAAAATTTTTGAAAAGTTCCTCTAAACTTGTTTGACTTGACATCGCTTTAAAGGTGTCATTCACGAGGATTTTGGCACTTATAACATCGAATAGAGGTTCTCCAAATTCTCGGGGTAAATTTGAACTTCCGATGGCTACAATTTTGAAAAGTTCCTCCAAAATTGTTTGATTTGACGTAGCTTTGAAGGTGTCATTAACGTAGGGATTTTGGCCCTTACAAAACAGAATAGAGAATTTGCAGGTGTCTGAAATTTTGTGAGTTTCGTGTTTAAAATGAAACTACCAACAGTTCTGAGCACAAGGCTATCCTCGGTTTCTGAGTTGAACAATTATTGGGGGAAATATGACAAAAATAACCGAATATATCAAAGTACGTGTGGTAAATGGGAAATACCGCCAAATGACGTCCGAAGTTGGCATATTTTCTCACTTTTAAATCTATTTTTCTGCAATTTCCCATTTCAGAAAAAAATTAGGAAAAATACTGCGAACACAGATCATTTGGCACTCTCAGAAATATGAATAAAAGTTTGTCTTGCAAATTCTTTGTTGTTGGTATTACGGTGCTCTTGAAGGATCCTGCGTACTACTTTTCCAATTATTGTAGGTGCATGCACACTGTTACTTTTAAATAAATGTACACTATGACAGTCCAAACGTTGACATAAAAGAAGACAAGAAAAAGCGGGAAAGAGGCTGGAAAAACGTGCTTTGTATTTTATTGTGTTTTTCCAACCTTGTCCCTGCCTTTTCTTGTCCTATTTTATGTCACTGATACTAATGTGGCAACGATTATTTCTATCGCAGTAAGATTAT